ACACAGAGAGTTACCATTTGCTAAATTAGGATATCCAATAACAAAGCAACACATCACAAAATACAAAGTCACGCTACTTCAGTTCAATAGTACTACATTTTCATGCTGAGAAACAGAAAAACAAAGTCAATATAACAAGGTATAACTAATTTCAACGAAGGGATTCTATTATTAGTTATTTTTCTCCCCAAACCATGTTAGTGTTTCATGCAGACCTGGGTTAGTCAGTATAATTCTGGAAAAAATTTAGTGACAATTTCTGAAATGTTTAGTATGAACCAGACAGTGTTAAGTTTACTTATTGTTTAAGTTACAAGCTTAGAGCTTGCTAATTTTGAAAAAAGGAAATGGGAGAACAGAGGGTGTTTTGGTTGACACTTTGTCTTACCTTCAGATAAACAGAACTGATATTTAATGATCTAAAGAGGGAAAATAAAATAAATGAAACAATCATAAGGAGTGCAAGATATTACAGAATAGGAAGGCCATGAGTCATTTATTTTCTTACTGATTTCTTCAAAATTAGTTAATTGTAAAATGCAGTACCCTCTCATAATCTTTAATTATTAAAATATTAAGTACTTCTACATCTAGACCAGTTATTTTAGGTTTATCTGTAAAATCAGAGATGAGGGGGTAATATTCTTGGCCATAAACTTTGATTCTCTAAAGTTGAGTGTGCATGCTTAACTTGTATTTCTTTTGCAGATACTTCAGAAGTGATTCCAGAAGATGCAAGAGTCACTGACCATTAGCTCAGATAAAATGTGGTACATATACTTTTATGAAGATTGTTGACTTTCTTAAAGAATTGCATTTAGGTAAAAGAAACCATAAATCAAATTTATAGGCCAAATTCAAATATTAAATCGTGATAAAAAATTCATACTTCAATTATTAGAATTTTTTTCAAGCAAGTTTTTAGAACAAAAGGGTACTGCATTTCAAGTTTCAATAACAAGTAACTAATACTTGCTTTTAATCTTACCGGCATCAGATGGTAAATGATGGTAGGGAGCTGGAGAAAAAACCTGTGCTGCAAAATCTTCAAATGTTGTTGGTTCTAAGTGGTGCTGGACAATTGTTTGCAGGTATCGTGCTCTCTCCTCATAGCTGATTTTCCTTTGGTTAAGGATAAACTTAAATGCAGCTTATACTGGAAAAAAAATCTTATCAAAAAGGACTGCTATGATTGCTAAGCTATTACTTCTTAATAGAATTATTCACTAATTATTGTTATATATTATTAACAGTATGGCTTTTTAAAGTGCAAAAATACAGTTTTTAATGTAAGTTTACTCTTCATGATCCCACTATAAATGACAGCTTAACAGGGAGATAGTTATTAGATAATAATTACAGTAATACTAATGAAATGAATGAAGCTGACGGTTTATTTGAGAAACGATTCAATTTCTATCAGGAGTCTAGGCTGAAATTTCTATCAGCCTAGGCTCATCTTATCTTGTTAATCAGCTTCCATCTGCAGATTTACTCTCAAAAGCCATGCAATAAATACTGTATTCTGTTTTTCATTTGTAACGATTTATTATGAAAAATTCCTACGTATCTTCTTTTTATAAAATCCCTGCATTTTCTCAACAATTGTTCTCATTTTGAATGGAAGGCTACTGTTGCTGTAATCCTCGAATAACTCCATGCAGTTAAGAAAAATACATAGCTGAATCTGTATGCCAGAAAAAAATACCTAGTCAATTATAACACTGAAACAAGCAGGAATATTTGCAAAGAGTCCACAGGACTCCTAAATACTGTCTAACAAAGCATCTCCAGGGCACTGACACTGACAGAAAAATACTGAAGTTCCCTTTCACCACATTTTCTTCTCTGATATTATTGACAAGCAACCACTACCTTGAAGTGTTGTTGCTTTTGAACAACCCACTCCAGGCTTCCTGTTTCAGCAGGCCTGATTGTGCTGTTAGCACAGAGAGGGCGAGAAAGAGAGAGAATATTTCTGTTGTTCACGAAAGCAACTATGGAAATGGCTGTCAAAATGTAGAGCAGCAGGCAGCAACATACAATTATCAGGAAAAACTCACATGCTGACTTCATGTCGTATAGTTCCTGAACTGAGAAATCAGTTAACCTTTCTTTTAAAACTTTTAAAAGTTTCCCTGTGGTACTCAGTGTGCTATGTTGACAGGCTTTACATAAGATATTTAAATAAGGATAATAAACATTTGTCTACTGATTCTTCTTTTTTTGCCCACTGAATTTCCCTCCAAAGTCCACTTTAATATTTCCCCTCAAAACTCCTTATTTTTTAAAAATTGCAGTCAATTATTATATAGTTGTAAAATTCTAGAAATTGTAGACCAAGCTTACAAGACCCAAAAAAATAATTTAAAGGAAGATAATTTTAAATAATTCAATGGGAGATACCATGGCCAGTTAGTTACATTTACAAGAGTTTACTAAGAATAGGGGGAAAAAAAAAAAGTATGAGTTAGACTATATTCATTATGCACTTGACTTTGATTGTGGCATCTTTTGCTCTCTACGTGGCTTTCATATTATGATTTATCTTATGTATGAAATATTAAAATAACCTTGAATTCCAATTCCTGGCAATCCATTACTTTCCATTCTGTACACTGGGGGTGAACTTCAAAAAAATTTTACTTCTGAGGTGGGAAGCAACAGGAAAAGATGCATATTAAAATGATCAGCATCAAAGATTTTACATGAGGATAATATGGACATTTTTGAGTCTTAACGCAGACAAGTAATATAGCACACTTTTAAAGGGAGTATATGGTTATAAATGGAAGAGGATGAAACTGATGGTACAATCTAAATAATACCACATATCTCACAACTTGTTGGAAAGTACTTTTTTCATTGGGGGAGATTCACAGCTGCCGAATTTTCTGCAGTTAATAGAGTCCTTTGATTCACAGCAGTGCCCCTTGTACAAAAAATACTGGCCTTTGTGTATTACCAGAAACTAATTTTCTATTTGGCTGAAAAGGGAAAAATGGGGTTATTGCTTCTCCCTCCTACAGAGCTTTTCATTATGCCTGATGCACTCAACTTCTAAGCTCTTCTGAGAAAAAAAAATAACTGAAGAGGCAAGAGGTAGAAAAATGAGCTTGTTAGCACATTAGAAGTGAAGTATCTTGGTGGGCCCTAGAAATTCCCAGTGGTGTGTTAACTTATCACTCTATGCATGCTGGCACTGATAGTCTTCCAATTGATCACTCTCTTTTCGCACCAAAGGTGCTGCCAGGAAGCAAAGGCTGAAGGCCCACAGGAGAAAAGTCTGCTATCAAAACAAGCTGTTTTTAAAAGTCTGCTTGAATGGGTAAAACGCTTCATGAAAAGTAGGGTGGAGACACCTACCTGCTTTTAAAAATGTTCTACTTTCAAAGGGCCTATAAATGAAATATTTTACTTTATTATATTCAGAGTTTATACAAAAATTAGGCAGAAAGAAAGCAAATGTTAATATTTCTAAAGCAGGGAAGATATTTCCAATGTAGTAAATTCATCAAAGCAAGAAAATGATTATCTAGATAAAATACATTTTGCAGATTAATTCTATTTCCTTTATAAAAAGACTTACAAAATAGAAAAAAACCTAATACACAGCTGCACAAAACTAAAATTATCCAGATATAACATATTCATTTTGTATAAAAACATATTTAATAAATTTATATTAAATCTTCATTAATGAAAACAATGCTTTCTTAAATTATTTTTAAAGTTCAAGTCTAGGTGGCAGAGTGAAGGGAAGCAATCATTAATCGTTGAATTTAAATGAAAAAAACTACAGTGCTCATCACTTATTAGGTAAGCTTCCTTTTTGGGGGGGCCACCTTCAGGAAACACTGTTAGCTTGGTAATATAATCATATCCAAGGTAACTCACCTTCTAAAAGCTAAATGATCTTTGTAAATTTTCCAGTTTGATGTAGCCAGATAAATAAATAACAACATGAAAACAAGCCAACCCAGTCTACATGACTTACATCTTTTCTTTTTTTTAACTTCAGAAAACATGTATGAAGGAAATATAATAAACTCTAAGCACTTAAACCATAGCCTTGAGTCCATACGAGGTGCTTTTTGTTACTGAGATGATTAAAGTTCCAAACAGTGCTTTAGAATCTGCAACTGTAATCATCCAAAGCAGTTAATTCCTGTATCTCCTTATAATAGTTTAGACACTTATTCCATAAAAGACATCTCTCTAGGGAAGAGTTATTAGTACATATACATTGAGTGGCACAGAAACTCCACAGCTGGCAACAAAAGGATAACTCAAGCTATAGTTTTATATGGTGAGCGCATGCTGCCGTTGCCATTCCCATTGAAATTAACTGAAATAGGAAGGATGATAAAAAAGGTGAAGGCAAAATTCATAACAAAAATTTAAAGTACAAATCTAGGTTGAGGTAAGCAGATTTAGGTTGTAAAACAACTCAAGCCAAAATTAGCTAATAAAAACCACTAGCTGAATGAGACTTTTAACTAGTAGGAATCTTTAATACAGAACTAGCCAATCAAAAAAAAAAATCACACACAGGTGCTGCAATCACAGCAATATAATTATCCACTAATCCTCCTTCCACTCTCTACAAAAGGAAAACGGGGACGGGAGGTGGGTCGGAAGAGGGGGGCGTGGGTAGGAATATTATTATTCTAAAAATAAGGGAACAAAACATCTATAGCATAAAGAACAGTTTAAATCTAATCTGTACTTCATTAAGTTAACATCATTACATATTTTAAGTTACTACTCTTGATTTTAAACTTCAAGACCAGCTATTAAGAAACTGGGTTCAACTTCAGACTGATCCTGGAAAGATAAGCAAAAATTTTCTGTGCCATAATTTATCTGTACGTTAAATGGGGATACCATCACCTACTCACTTCATAGGGTGCTGAAGATAAAGGTTACAAATACAGGGTAAATCAAAAGTGTCCCTACATCTGTCTTGAAAAGTTTATTTTGGCCTTTCGCTCACATAATTTGTACATAGCAGGTGCTGTCTCTAGAAGGACAATTTTTGATGTCAGTTTAAGAAATAAGCCTCTATTATGTGCAAGAATTCTTTGATAATACCACTAATAAAACAAAATAATACCACTAATATTTCTTGTTACATGTACAGACTTATTCTGATGCAAGGAACTGATTTCTCATGAAAGATACTGCAGAACATTATGCACTATCAACTTAATTAACATATAGAAGAATATATAAAAGTAGATCTGGTTTTAAAGAAGCAATGCTTTTCATTCTCCACAATTTTATTAATCTGGTAATTCTGAACTGCTTGTACTGTTAGAAAAGGGGAAGCCTTCAGTTTTGTAATTCCATTGGACAACCAGTAGGTTGTAGAAACATTTAGTTCAAATGTAATTTGTGACTAGTCTGAAAGAAATGAAAATGTGTGTGTGTAAATTTGTGTATACACATGTTACACACAAGAATTAATACAAAGTATAATTTTCACAAAAAGAAATTATAAAAATTACAACTTGTAAGCAGATATCAAAGATTTGCATAATTGCTTATTTTCCTCTTAAGTTCAGGTTTCATGTTGTATTTCCTTAACAAGAAAAAATAATTGACTGCTTTTAAAATAAAGGCAAGTATAAAGTGTTTATATCTGTGCTCAATGGCCTAGTCTCAGGGATTTAAGGCCCATTCTGAAATTCTTAATTTAGTAAGCACTTCCCTACACTTATACATTTCTATAGCTTCTTTGCAGTTTTAGCACTTAGAAATTTTATCTCCTTTCTCTAGAGAAGATTCCAAGAATAGTAATCATACGAGGAGGAAGCATTCCAATAATTACTTAGAAATGTTGCCTACTGATTAAAAAAAATTTTTTTGAGAGTACAACTTAAGTCATAATTGAGATGTAACTTAAGTAGCTGAAATCTAAGTACTACTTAAGTTGAGCAGATCAGAGTCAATTATTCAATACTTACAAAGTTTGTAAGGTTGGTAGCCTGAAACTGGCTATGGTAAGTTTCCAAATCACACGTCTTGAAGATTTGCTGCAAATCACCCACCTCCCAGGCCCCCTTTAGAGAGCCTCTTTCCTTAGGCTTGTTCTTCCACTAAGTACGCTTTCTTAAGAAACAGTTTTGTCCCTGATTCTTGGGGGCAGATTTGGTGGTCCTTCAATGCTCTACTTCACTTTAGAGACTAGTAATCCAGGCATTCTACTTTTGTTATTGAAATTTTAATTGTCCATTTTGTGGTTTACAGACTAGTGATGAGACAAATGCCATGGGGACAGAGACCATGTCTTCTTATCTTTACGTCTTCAGCACCCAACACAGGGCACAGTCATATTCAATGACTTGCTTACAACTTCTAGAAGGAGTGAGTAAAGTTGGTTTGATAGTAGATTAGGAGGTGTCTGTCACACTGACGCCCCTTTCCTCTAATCCCAATATGGTTCCATAAAGGCAAACCTTTTTGGGGCAAATGTAGTTGAAACTTTCCTAGGACTGGATTTAGAGTTTGAATCTTTCTTGTGAAAAAAATTTTTGTTCTACTGTGCCCTTTGATCTTGCTGGCCCTCTCTGGAACCAAAAAAAAAAAGTGACTATAGCACAATATATAAATATGTAAAGTATTATACTAAGAGAAAAGAAAACTGATAATTACTTCTATAAATCCTCATAATCTTAAAGAAAGATTTTTTCTTTATGCAATGTAATTATAACTCATATTTTAGCACTGAACTAAACACTTCTCCCATTGGTTGTGATAATTTCTTAAAAGTTTAAAATTTTTTCATAAATTCTACAATGCTATGAGACAATGAATTTAGTCAAACAAATCCTATTTGCTTAAGCAGCCATTTATACAGAAGGGAATAAAGGGAAGAATGAGAAAATCTCTATAGGGAAAATTATATGATGGGTAATTTCAAATCATTTTAGGCAAATTTCCAAAACTGCTCTGTATATCATAAGAATAGAAGTAATAATACCCTTGAAAAATAATACTTGAAAAATGTTATATTTAGGTTTTTGAAAAGGCCCTCTTAAAAGAGGTTGTCCCAAGACAAGGCATCATTTATTGAGAACATTTAGGACAATTTGAACTAGAGGAAGGATACACCCATCAACATTGCTTTCAGGAAACTTAGTAAAATTCGTTTATTTTACTAATGTTTATAGGCAGCAATAAGGCTAGCCTGAATAGAGAGTACAAAGATTTGCTTGGATAAACAAAGCTGCTGACAGATAGAGCTGGGACTAAAATCTTGGTCTTTTAATTAATAGTCCATTGCTCTCTGTATATCCAATCTCAGTGACTTGGGTGCTGTGTGGTGAAAAAGCAAAGGCCTTTTAGTTATCTCAAAATAATGAATGTTAGCTTAAATTCTAAGACTGGCAATTTTTGAAAGATGTGTGTTTATATATTAAATAATATTTATTGTAATTTACTGTACTTTAGTGACTATAGTACAGTAAAACCTCTTGCATGTTCTAAAATAAAAATGAGGAAACAAACCACATTTGGCACTTCAGTTTAAAAGGCCTTGAAATATCTTTAAATATTCTGAGGCAATATCATTACATAGGGTCTTGAAAAAAGAATGAAAAATAAGAATTTTATTGAGACATAGCATATGGGTAGACATACTTTGCAAGTACATCTCAAGGATCTCATGGTTATTATCAGTAGTAAAGTACCATGTTTTCTGAAATACACAGGGTAATTAGTGTCTCATGGACTAATAGACATTGTTCATTTATAAGATGAAAGCAAACTCTACTGCTTACCTTATAAAGCAAGATCTGATAAATTAAGATCTGGCAGAGGGAAGGATATTCCATTTCTTTCCTACTGTAACTAACTTCTTCCAGAAACATGCAGTCTAGTTCATATGTAGTAAAAAATAAAATTCCCCTAAACAAATAGCATGAATCTCGTTATTATTATTGCTTATTTACACTATGTTAATAAAAATTCTTCTGAAAGTCTGCAACAGGTTATGACAAATTATCATCTATTTTTATGATGCCTTATATTCATGAAATTCTTCAGTGGTTGATACTATCTACACCATGAAGGAAAAGCTGTGATTTGTCAGAAAAGACAAAGCTGGGCTTTAATCCATCCTTTTAACCATATTGCCAAGTCTATATTGTTTTCACTGCGTCTCAATTAGGAGACAGGCAGGACACCTGGTACTTCTTTATCTAAGTCCCATGGGCTGCCAGATGACTCAAAATCCATAACAGGTGCTAAGGCAGTGTGAGGATACAGAAATTGAAAGCTAGAGTTGAATAAAATTTGGACCACATATAATTGCTCATAAATCAGTCAATTACTAAATGAAAACATTAAGTAAAAAGTTGATAAGCCCAATTCCACCAAAGTTTGTGTAAATACATTTAAAAAGATTAACCTTAAATAAATAGGCTTAAAAATTTAAACCTACCTTAAGGGCTCTGAAAATCCTTCCTGATTTAATAATCCAATAATCATTGGTGGGCTTCAAAAAGCCCTAATATGATTATCCAGTATCTGTGTGTGTGTGTATATATATATACACATATACACACACACACATTCTACTTTCATGAAAGTTTTATGAAGCAAAACAGAAACACTAGGTTATCTGGATTTCAAATTTAGTGAAATTATAATGTACTCTCATTCTTGGAAAGATCTACTTGAAAACATTATCATTAATTTAGTAATAATGAGACTTTCAAAGTCAACAGAGAACTGCTTGAAAATCCCTAGTATTAGAGTAAGAGTTTAAAAAGAGTTTAAAAAACATTGGGAGGATACTAGAAACAATCTTGTGTGTTGTTCTTTTTGAGAACACAATTTTTAGTACATTAAAGTTGAAGAAACAAATGTATTTGAGCAAAATACTAAACTTGGACCCTGTCAGAAGACTGCAAAAAGAAAAAAAAAAAACAAGAAAAACCAAATAAGTGAAATTTTACAGTGTACAATTACTTAAATGTTATCTTTACCTAAATGTGCACTAATTTAATTAAGATTTTTGTTTAAGTGCTATAATTATTGGGAATACAAAAAAAGTGATTTCATTATCATAGTAAGTAGAAACAAAGTACAGTAAACTGTCATTTAAGACAGTGTCATAGAATCTATGATAAGCAGTACACTGGCTTAAACTAATGCACTATATGCCCCCAGGGAATGACAGGCTTAGACACTGGACTTTAACATCAAAATCTATCCATTAATCTTGACTTAAATATAATCTATTCTGCAGTAAAAGGAAGAATGGGCATTCAATGAATTACTGTTTTTGAAATACTGCACTGGTGCCCATTTACTAAAATTACTTAAGAGAACACAGGATATGAAATACTAGTAAATTTTACAGATTTTCTAATTTTACAAAACATGCACTTGAACTTCTCCAAATCTAGCAAGAGATTGCAAAACTTTACTGATTTAAAAGTTTTCTTAAAATATCTCTTCCTTATTCTATTTAAGAACATGCTACATAAATTATTGTTACTGCAATATAATTTAGTCAACTTCATTTCGGCTGAAAAAAAAAATCATCTATGGAGTCAGAATCCCTGGAGTCCGAAAATAAGGACTAATTTTTTTTTAGGTTGTAGATCATTGTTTCTTTGCAACAGAACTACCCAACTGCTTGCTGACAAAGCTGACTAGAAGAAAACAGAAAGGTCAAGAGGAGTGTTTATATAAATATCAGAGCATACAATACTTCATAAAAAAGGAAACCCTCACATTAAAAAAAAAATCCAACCAGAGGGAATTCAATGAGTGAGGCAATCATACATGACTGAAATAGTTATGAGCTACTCAAATAATAAATCTGGCATTTAACCTTAAGATGTGCTGACTAATTTATCTTTAGTGGATTATTTTAGCACTTGTGCTATGTAGAAAGTTAATTTACATTTCTATACTAATATGGTTTATACGTATTCAGATGGTATTCAGGAATCCTAAAAAGCAAAGTATAAATTAAACCAAATTTACAACCTTATCTGCCATATGAATTGTGATAATTTTATCCACTTCACCTCAGTTAAATTCTTATGAAAATAAAAAAACTTCTTATTTTCATCTAATAAAAAAATCATAAGGCAAAACTGACTTTTGCTCTGCAATAATCTGATGGGCTAAAAATAGATAATGGCATGTTAACAAGGAATTACTACAGGTGGCTGCTTAAATATATTCATTTGCTTTCTTTTTTGATAGCAGCTATGTGCTAAATAAAAGTCAACAATCTTATCAAGAGAGTAAGTAAATGTAGAAACATCAGTTCTGCAACAGCTATTTTTGCTTCTACTCTTCTGAACAGCAATTAGTAAAGCAACCCCTTCCCCTCCTCCCTAGTGCTGTCAAGCTGTTCAGAGCAGTTTGCAACTCAACAATGGTACCATTGTGAATGCTCTCTGGGCTTCCTTCCCACAGAGAGTTAAATGGGCAGTTCCTGCTGCCCGTGATTGGTGTCCAGTGAAATAATACTCAACAGCCAGGTTTTATCAGCTTCACGCCAAAGAAGTGAAGCCAGGGAACCCAAGCCTTCATATCATACTGGACCATATGCCAACCCTGATGGCCCCAAAGGTTTATCACTAAGAATCAGGATCCATCATGTCCCTTGTGAAATTTCACTTCACATACCTTATGTGAAAAGCAAAGCTTCACTAAAAACTGAACCTTCTTTACAATTGGCATGAACAGATGGACGGTAACAGTGGTTTGGCAAGCAAAAGTCAAGATTTAAATAGGCAGTATTCTAGTGTTTGAGAGAAACAGCAGTTAGAAAAAATGGATAGATTTGTGACCCATAGTTTAATTTTAATTCCATTATTGTTATAAAAAATTTAATATCAAAAGGCCTATGTTTAGTCAATGAAAAGAATGAATGAAAAGCACTTCAATTCCTGTCAAACATGTTTAAAGACCAATTTCAGCTTTATATCCATTTTTTCTTTGCTCTTTGAAATCCCCAAACAGCATCTGAATCTATAGTTGTTTTCATATTTAAACAAAGACCACAATAAAACTAGTACATTATGTAGTATGTGTGGTGAATAATGATGTGAGTAGAGCAGTGCACAATCATCACTAACTGCAACATCACAGGGTTTTAACACAGGAAAAAAAAAATCCCTATTCCAGCATAGGTGAGGAGTTGATAAAGATAGAAACAAACTTCAAGTATGGTTGTTTTTAGGGAATACTGCAGTTTGTCCATGCCCTGATGAGTTCTAGTTCTTCTCCTTCACTGTGATATGACCCACCTGTCCAGACTGGCATCTAAATTTGACAAAACAGCTAAGATGGTGGTAATGCTTTCTTTTGGTATTTTTGTTGTTGTTGTTGTTGCCATGAAGCCAATGTATTATAAGACTAGGACAAAAGTATTTTATTCATCAATAACATGTAAAACTATAATAAGGTATAAAGACAATAATTGTATAAAAGTATCTCATAGGTAAAGTTTAAAGAATTGTTGTGCAAGAATAAAGTCTATCATGAGTCTATCATAAGAAATATGAAAATCTCAGATGCTCTTTAAAAAATGATACATATGTATAAATATTACCAAATATTTAGAGACCTTTTTAGTCTCATTAAGAAAAGTAACACTGGCTATTAGTGCTATTAGCCTGGCAATTATTGCTTAACTAATTATCATAAAGACTTTATGAAAATAATGATCAATAAACATTTTGGAAAGGCTTTGCTAGAAAATGAAAAATAAGAAATTCAAACTGTAACTGTTCTGCTAGTGAAAAAGTAAAAAACACACAAAAGCAGAAGAACCTTAGACACTGGCTGCCATAAAATCATCAACAGCATTAGAAAACCATTAGAAATTTATGCCGATTTTCTTTCTGCTTGACTACATTATCTGGTTTTGACCTATTTCTTGATCTTTATCTGTCACTACTTTTCCTTTTATATCGTCCAGTAGTACTGAACTCCTTTTATTTGTTGACTGTACCATACTTTTATGCCTCCATGGCCACTTCTTACCCCTAGAAAACTCTTCCCTGACCATGTCTGCCTGGAAAAGTCCCAGGTGTCTTTGAAGTATTAGAATTCTTCCATGATAAAGCCATTCCTCTAATATGCATCCTCTCATGCTACTATCCTCTCCCACTTAAAATTAATCACCTTTACCATCCTTCTTGGTATATATCACTATTGCTGGACTCTGGTAAGAGTGCACTGCATTCATACATTCATGGAGCTCTCTTCCCATCCGGCCCCAGATTGTATGCTCCAATAAATGAAAGATCCTAAACTGCTTAAGTTTATCATTAGTGCATTAAGTTTTTGGTAGAAGATGAAAATTGAAAATATCTCTAGTATTAAAACAATGTTAACAGACATAGAAACTGGCCATGTACTAAAGTCATTTTTTGTGAGCTCTCACAGTAATTATTGGTCAATAGTAGTAAAACCTTAAAGACTGTCTCTAGAGAACATTAAGATATAATGCTATTTCATACAGAGTAAACTTTCTTTATTATTATCACAAAGTTGTTACACATCAGAGATTCACATTTACTGCTTTTTGAAAGGACATGGATTTGCTAGACCAAAACTACCATCCTTAAAGATATGTAGTACCTTTGAAATACAGTAACATCATTGACAGGCATATACTGCCATTTTGTGAAAAGAATAGCTAAACAAATTAAAACTGACATAATCAAACATATATTAGAGTCATTGTAGAAGTGTGTCACATATATAGGGCCCCTGTTTAAATAATTACTCTGTGTACACAGACTACAAAGACTACAAGGCTTGGCAGCAAAATCCAGGCCAAGAAGATGTTTAAGCACAGCAAAAAATTCTTCAATTGTAAAATTGTAATTTTAATACAAAAGTATTTTTTTTTTTTTTGAGACAGACTCTTACTCTGTTGCTCAGGCTGGAGTGCAGTCGCACAATCTGGGCTCACTGCAACCTCCGCCTCTGGGTTCAAGCAATTCTCATGACTCAAGCCTCCTAAGTAGCTGGGATTACAGGGGTGGGCCATCATGCCTGGCTAATTTTTTGTATTTTTAATAGAGATGGGGTTTCACTATGTAGGCCAGGCTTGTCTTGAACTCCTGGCCTCAAGTGATCTGCTCGCCTTGAGGTCCCAAAGTGCTGGTATTATAGGTGAGAGCCACTGTGGCTGGCTGAATACAGGAGATTTTAATCCTCTAATTACAGAGCAGATTGTTAGGTAAAGAAGAATGTTTGCTCTTAGAGATCTTACTGCAATGGTTAATACCAGTGGCACAATGGCTGTGAGCATTTCAAAGACCACAAAACCTGGATCACTTAGCTGATGAGACATTTTATTTGAAGAACTATCTTCTCTTCTTTTGCAGAGAATGAATGACCATAAAATGACCATAACTATAGATCTTAGTTGATTTAACAACTAATCAATTTGATTTAACAACTAATCAATTTGTCTACGATATTTAAGACCGTCACAGAAAGCATGAAGAACAAATGGCACAAAATTTTGAGAGCTCCTAATGGAATCGCTAATGTAGTTGGTACAAATGTTGAAGCAGCAAAATTGGAAACCTTATCAGCATCTAGACTCCCATTGCTGCCCCCTACTGCTCTTCTGTTGCTACCACTTCCCTTGCCTTACAGCAAGAAGTGTCAGCCTTCAGGGCTCAGCCTCAAGCTGTCTCCTTGCAGGGGACACCAAGATGTATCCTCCCCACGCCATCTGTCACTGCCATCAAGTCAGAGGTTTCTTAGCTCATTTTTCTCCCTAAGAGATCTCCCAACCCCAAATGAAGTGAAAAACCTCCATTAATGAATGATACCTGAAAATTATCTTCAGTAATGGCCTCTAATAAAAAATATACTACTGATTAAGCAGTCAAAATAAAAAAAACCTTTATGTGTGTGCTAGTCTGGCTTATTCACGTATCAGTGGCAATTTTCACTGATCCTAGGTTTTTTCTTCTTACCTACCCAGCCAACTCTTAAGATTTGTAGCCTATTCTAATACAAATCACAAAGTATAAGTTACTACAAAAAATATTTGGGGGTTTTCCATTCTTAAAAAAAATCCATGATAATAAATATAAACTTCAAAAGCATAGATACTTAAAATAATTTACTAGCCATCTACCATAGGCTAGGCACTGTGCTGGAAGTTAGTGAAACAAGAAGGATAAGTAAGACTTGCTAATATGTATATACACCGTTAAGCACTGTAACAAAATGTTTTGAGGCAGTGTAAACAATAGTTTTGCATTAAAGGAGGTTTTTTTTTTCTTAAACAAAGGGTATTTGGGTTATGAATAATGAGTATGTTAGGTGGAAAAAAGTAGAGATGGGCATTATTGAAGTAACAACATGGGACTGAAAAAGAAGGGCATTCGGGAATAATGAATATGACTTAGCTGGACACATAGTGTGCCCTGGGCATCAGTGTGTTAGGAGATGAGGGTAAAGATGAGAGATGGAGCTGGGGAGAAGTACCGGTATATTTGACAAAACTGCAGTAAGAAATATAAGGCTGGGGGGGGCGTGGTAAAATAAAAAGAATTGCTTCCAGGTCATCAAAAAATTTAGACTTGTTTCAATAAGCAATTAAAAGCCATCGTTAAGTCTTTTAGTATACAGATGCTTCTTGACTTACGATTGGGTTACATCCCAAAATACTCATTATAAATTGAAAATTTATTTAATATACCTAACTTACTTAACAGTACAACTTATCCTAGTTATAAGGATATAACCTTATGTCCTACTTTAAATGTACTTGGAACATTTACATTACCCTACAGTTGGGCAAAATCATCTAATGTAAAGCCTATTGTTTTTTTTTTGAAATGAAGTGTCACTCTTGTTGCCCAGGCTTGAGTGCAATGGTGTTATCTTGGCTCAGTGCAACCTGTGCCTCCCAGGTTCAAGCAATTCTCCTGCCTCAACCTCCCAAGTAGCTGAGATTACAGGCATGCGCCACCACATCTGGCTAATTTTTGTATTTTCAGTAGAGATGGAGTTTCACCATGTTGGTCTGGCTGGTCTCGAACTCCTGACCTCAGGTGATCCGCCTGCCTCAGCCTCCCAAAGTGCTGGGATTACAGGTGTGAGCCACCATGCCCAGCCCAAAGCCTATTTTTAAATAAAGTTATTATAAAAATTTTTGAATCAAAATTCAAAATTCTAAGTAAGAGTTCTACCAAATATTGCTTTTGTACCATCATAAAGCTGAACCATCCTAAATTGGGGACTGTCTGTACTTAGGTTTGCATTTTAGAAGAATATCCCAAGTGTTAATGACAGCATCATTAACTCCCATGTAACTACCATTTTCTGAGCTCTTGCTATATGACAGACAGGTTACTTAGTGTTTCATGTAGATAATTTCACTTAATTCTTAAACATCCCGAATTTGGTACTATTATCCTCTTTTTACATGTGAAATTAAGGATAACCCATACTTAATTGATGTTATCTTCTGAGAAAATAATCTACAAAAGATTGTGGATATATAAAATTATAAAGTTTCTCAATAAACTCATTTTCTTCTAACGTAAAATGGCAACAATATTGACAGACTCTCCTAAGAGGTTTTATAATGTTTTATCATAATGAAAGGCAACTGCATTAGTAGAATCAATCAATTCCATTCCACTTAGTTTTGGTTCTCCTACTTTTACAACAGGTACTGCATATTTGAGTAGGAGAACTTGAGGGATAACAAACTGTGACTAATTGAAGAATAATAATTGACTTCTGGTAATCTGCCTGATCAAGTTAAATAGAAACCCAATTCTGGTATTTAAGAAAAAATCAAATCTAAACAGATTAGAAGAAATCAAATAATACTAGTTGTGGTAGGAAAGAATATCTAAATCTAGAAATAAAGTGTTCTTTTAAAATGCCATTTAATTATATAATATTCCCCATACTGTATATTTAAGATTATACTTATACAATATGCATATATGCATACATACAAAACCTGAAGACTATAAATTACAAGAATTATAACAGACATGTTGCATTCCATCTATTCAAAGCCCACCTTTTGAGGCCCAAATTTTCTAAACATTCTTTCCTGATCTTCTGACTCCAAAGTAATTTCTTCTTCCTTGGAACTCTTACAGCATTTTATCTATAACCCTACCAGGACATTTTCACTTAATCTTCTATTATAATTAGTAATGTATATATTATTCTCTCCTTGTTACATTATAAGCATATGAGGACAGGATTATGATCTGATTTGTCTTTGCATCCCTCTCAAAATCTTTGCTAACTGTGTAAGTGATCAATACCTATTTTTGAAGAAAGAAAAATAGTACAATTCTATTTCTTGACTTGTTGATGATTAAACTGTAATAATCATTACATAGTACATTTATGATGTATGTACTTTTCTCAAATTATAATTTGTAATAGGGATAAAAAGAAAACAAGAAAAATAGGATATGTTGGTTATTTTATGTAAACTTGGCTGGGTCATGGGACCTAGTTTTTGGTCAAACACCAGTCTAGATTTTACTGTTATATTTTATAATATTAATATAATATATAACATATACTCTTATAATTACTGTATATTGTTATATTTATACAGTTATAATATTGTTATATTTATACAGTTATATTTTAGATTTGAATACCATTTAAATCAGTAGACTTTGGGTAAAGCAGATTATCCTCTATAATGTGGGTGAGCCTCATTCAGTTAGTTAAAGACTTTAAGAGAAAACACAGAGTCCTCTGAGGAAGGACAGAATTCTGCCTTCAGACTCAGACTGCAACATCAATTCTTCCCTGAGTTTCCTACAGATTTTGAACTTGCCAGCCCCCACAACTACATGACAAATTCCTTAAAACAAATCTCTTTTCTCTTCCTGTTTATATACATCCTATTGGTTCTGTTTCTCTGAGAACCCTCACTATAACATGATTTTATATTGTAACTTCTGCAAATTTCTATGTATAGTAACTCTCACTTATAAAAGAAACAGTATGCACCTAAAAGTATCATATTTAACATTTGTATATTCAGAAGTCAAAGTCAAAATGTCTTTAGGATCAAAACAAACAATTGCTTTAAAAATTTTATTTAAGAAATAGAACGTGATGGCTGAGGTCATGAAATTAGTAATTTGGAATTATTATTGCCACTGTAAAAAACAGAAACAAAAAACCAAGAACACTCTTTCATCCGGTAACTAATAAATGATGGCTACAATTAAAGCTGAAATACCTCTGGTCCAATGGTTACACAGAATCTGCTTGGTTTTCCTCCCCAGTGTTGCATTTTAATTCTAATTGCATGATGAAACTAACAAATTGAGCTCCAGACCCCTCCCCTGCCTGAAAAAAAAAGTACCTAGCCGACAACAAAATCAGAGGTTGTAAGAAAATGCTTTTCCAGTACAAGTAATGTAAGAAACAAGTGAAGTGAAGGAGAGGTTTCAAAGCTTGAAAGACAGTCATCAATACAGACAGATTACTGTAATTCTGGCTGCCGGCATGATCGATTTGGGTAGCATATGACAATCAATATTGTCCCCATTTAGTGAACAACATTAGATTCATAGTTACAGAAGATGTTCCTAGGATAAAATTTAAACTGTATTTAATGATCATAAATAGCACAATTTATGCTGTGGAATCTTAGTGGGTACTTTTATTGGGCATAAAATAACTGACACAGTGGTGCAATTACCCAAATGTAATCAAGTTTATTATTTTTTTATCCCTTCATTTCTTCTATGAGGAGTAAAGGATTAACTGGTGGTTTCCAAAGCCTACTTGTATCTCAATTTCTGTTGTAATTTATGTTAACTAAATTATTGACCAATTTTAGAATGCTTGATGTTTTTCCTTAATGAGAACTTAATCTGAATATTTCAAAAATGTACATCATAATTTAATACATTATGTTTCTGAAGTATTTATTTAAAACTAAGAGATTTACCTGTATTTCAATATCTTAAAATACAAATGTCCAGTTGTAGTTTATTACATAAATATTCATTTGAAAATCAAATAATACACCTGTATGAAGTCATTTCCCAACATTTAGAATATAGAACTTTATATATGTATATATTAAGTAGAGATACTCCCAGTCTTTAATGAGTGCATACATATACTACCCTAGGTACATATATATATATATACACATACATACATAGACACACTATACTCACTATGGGAAAACAACTTCCTAAAGTTTCTAAACTTAAGATTCCAAGTCAGAAAAAATTTGTTTGATCTATCTGATTTAAATGTATTTACACTGTGTTCCAGGAGTAATTTTGCTGGTAGAAAACTTCAGATTTTCTGTTTAAATAAGTGTTCACGTTTACTATTTTCATCAATTTTCTCCAATGTAATATCTATTAACATCTCAGCAAGACTGACTATTAAAAACATGATAAAGTAGGCCTGAAAAAATCCAACCTAATCAATCAATCTACCAATCAACCAAACATAAAAACCCAATTAGGCAATTCCTTGGTATTGGGTAGACTTGCTTTATATTGACATTAATCATTGTACAAAATAATGTAACTTGTTATTACATTTACTAAGTACCTCCAAATTCATTATCTCATTTAATCTTCACAACAATTCTAAGAATGGTTATTAGCATCTTTTTTACAGTTGAAGAAAGTGAGGTTCAGAGATTCTGTTGTGACTTGGCCAAGATCACAAGGCAGAGCTTGAGTTAAAAATTAATGCTTTCTAACTGCAAAGCCAGCTTTCACATACCTCCATTGTAATATGAAGTCTGAAACAGAAGAACCAACAGGGTTGTAGAAAAAAAAATTAAGCCATATTCTCAAAACTCTTGATTTTCCACTTTAAAACTACTTGGTAAGGAGTGCATCTTAAATGTTGTTGTACCTCAGGTAAGAAAGTTTGTGCTTTCTCAGTAAATTGAGTTCCTATTTTATGACACAAGAGGCAAATAGAGTTTTGCACTATAATCTCAACTAATTGATCTCACTACTTTCCAAAAAGACTAAAGGCATTTATTTACACAAGAAAGTGCAAACTCTTCCATATCTACCTCTGTGGTCCACTTTCAATTGTACTTTTAATAAAATGACAGAGGACACTAAGTCTCAGAATAGACATTAGGATACAGTGAACTGTGAAAGAGACAAAGGTCTGACAGCAAACATCCTTGATGAAACTAACGATGTGGATAAAATTTATGGCTAATAACCTATATATTCCATGTAAGATTAGCTACTGTTCTAGAGATATTTAGGAAACAATAAACGGAAAAGTATACTCCAATAAACAGATTACAACTACAAAGCTTTTATGGAAGTATAGGTGGAGTATCCCTAATCTGAAAATCTAAAACCTAAAATGCTCCAAAATCTGAAACTTTTGAGCTCTGACATGACACTCAAAGGAAACATTCATTGGAGCATTTCAGATTTCAGGTATTCAGATTAGGAGTACTCAATTACTTGCTAAGTATAATGAAATTTTCCAAAATCCAAAAAAATCTGAAATCTGAAACACTTCTAGTCTCAAGAATTTCAGAGAAGGGATATTCAACATGTATTACAATGAGGTAAAAATCAGAAGAATAAAAATTTAGAAAAAGTAAATTAGCAAAGTGAGAATTTGTCAGTAAGCATCTTGTTTTGTTTAAAGGAAAAAGATGGGCTGGGCGCGGTGGCTCAAGCCTGTAATCCCAGCACTTTGGGAGGCTGAGGCGGGTGGATCATGTGGTCAAGATATCAAGACCATCCCAGTCAACATGGTGAAACCCCATCTCTACTAAAAATACAAAAAATTAGCTAGGCGTGGTGGCGCGTGCCTGTAATCCCGGCTACTCGGGAGGCTGAGGCAGGAGAGCCTGAACCCAGGAGGCAGAGGTTGCGGTGAGCTGAGATCATGCCATTGCACTCCAGCCTGGGTAACAAGAGCGAAACTCCGTCTCAAAAAAAAAAAAAAAAAGGAAAAAGATACTGTATCTAGGGAATGAAGGTGGAATTCCCAAAAAGATGGAATTCGAAAAGATACACTGTATGTGTGGATCTTATAAATGGTAAGCTGCTGAGTATGCATTTCATGAATCAACCTCCTTGTAGTTTTACTCACATCTGGTGAAAAGACTCAAGATTCCAGGCCCCAAAGGTAAAGGAAATAAAAGTGATCACTGGCTGACCTCAGCAGGGTTCACAAAAACTCTAAAAAAAAATAGTTCCTCCTAATACTTCAAGCAATCAATGGACAATACAGTCTTCAAAAAAACCTTCAGAAACAATAAACAGACTGTATTTCTAAGTCACAAAGACAAGTGACTTAGAAATAAACTTACCATGTCCATACTACTACTCACTGAACTTGCCTACGGAAATTTCTTTTCAATTGATAGATAGCTATTTAGTGGATGTCTCCAAATTACACTTTTGTTGACAATTCAAGGCTCATTTTAGTCCTTATCATTTCACTAAAATGACTACTTCAAATATGAGTTTTCAATTTAAAGTAAGTGAAGATATAAATGCTATGAAAAGGAATACTACAGAAATGTCATTAAGCTTAATCAATGTTAACATACCATGATCCACCTGCAATTTCATTTCACTATGTCAGAATACATGAGAAATTACAGAGTAACCAGATTGCTTAAGTCAATTTCCATCAAAAGAAGAAAACGTACATGGTAGACTACCAAGTTAAGAGATAATAAATCTAGGTCGGGTGTGGTAGCTCATGCCTGCAATCCCAGCACTTTGGGAGGCTGAGGCGGGCAGATCACAAGGTCAGGAGTTCAAGACAAGCCTGGCCAATATGGTGAAACCCCATCTCTACTAAAAAAAGTAATTAGCCAGGCATGGTGGTGGATGCCTGTTAGTCCCAGCTACTTGGGAGGCTGAGGCAGAAGAATCACTTGAACCTGGGAGGCGGAGGTTGCAGTGAGCAGAGATCGCACCACTGCACTCCAGCCTGGGCGACAGAGTGAGACTCTGTTTCAAGAAAGAAAAAAGATAATAAATCTATTTCATGTGGAATAGAACTAAGATATTTTTAAAAACCTTCCTTTAAAGCTTATCATTTACAGTTTATTATATAAAAAAATAAAATGATTTTAATCATATAGAAAAAGTACATAAAAAATTGATTTTAAAAAGAAATATCAGAAAACAATTTAAAATTTTGTGTATGTTGTATGCCAGGTAATGATTTAAGAGCTTTACACATATTAACTCATTATTAGTTGTCATAACACCATGAGCCAGATATTATTATCATTCTCATTTTATAGACAAGACTCAGGCTCAAAAGGTTAAGTAACTTTCCCAAGGCTACAAAGCTAAGAAAGTGTAGCCAGCATCTGAGTTTAGGCAATCTGGCTCCGGAAGTTATCCTCTTAAATGCTCCACATCTTCTCATACCTCCATGTCTCTAATTATGTTGCTCTCTCTGCTTGGAAGGTTCTTAGGCTCATCCACCTGATTAACTCTTTTTTGTCCTTCAAAACTGGTTCAATCCTGACTTTTTCAGAAGTGTTTCCTGGTAACACCACCCCTTCCAGATGAATGAGAGACCCCTTGTTACTAAACTTCTGGAATACTGCCCATACTTCTATTGAAATATATATTCTGAACACAGTATGTTTCCCCAACTAGATTGAGTTCTTTGCAATGACTATTTTGATTATTTCTGCAACTCCAGAGTAGTAGAGTACTTGACATAATGGGACTCTAATTAACCAAAAGATTAGTACTGATTAAAAGTATATAAGAGGACTGGACACAGTGGCTCACACCTGTAATCCCAGCAATTTGGGAGGCCAAGGTAAGCAGATCATCTGAGGTCAGGAGTTTGAGACAAGTCTGGCCAACATGGTGAAACCCCATCTCTACTAAAAATATAAAAATTAGCTGGGTGTGGTGGTGGGCACCTGTAATCCCAGCTACTTGGGAGGCTGAGGCAGGAGAATCACTTGAACACGGGAGTTGGAAGTTGCAGTGAGCTGAGTTCACACCATTGCATTCCAGCCTGGGTGACAAAAGCAAGGCTCCATCTAAAAAAAAAAAAAAAAAAAAGTACATAAAAGAAAATATATCATTCAATTATCATAACTATCATATCTTAACTTATCAATAACTTATCAATAATGATCATAACTCATCATCAATAAACAGGGAATCAGGTTGGGTGCAGTGGCTTACACCTGTAATTCCAGCACTTTAGGAGAACAAGGTAGAACAATTGTTTGAGCCCAGGAGTTTGAGCACAGCCTGAGCAAAATAATGATGCTTGGTTTCTACAAAAAATAATAACCACCTCCCCGCTGCCAGAAAATAAAAGGCTTTAACAATACATAAGAAATATTTACCTTTGTGAGTAGACATACATTAAAGTGAGACCATGACATTAAAAAAAGGATACAAGTTTTGATACAATGGAATCAGGGATTTAAGAGCACGGCTTGCATTTATAGCTGTTGCTCTAACCATAATGGGTAGAACCTTTCCATTCACAATAGCACCATCAAAAAGAGGACCAAAGAAAGGAACCTGATTGAGAAATAAGAACATAATTTCATATTCAAATTATAGACAGACTGTAAATAAATAAGAGCAATCAGGACACTTTGCATCCAAAGTATTTTTCCTGCTTTAGCTTTTCCTTCGTAAAAATACTATTTGAATTCAATTCTTTTCTGTGATGGGTCACTCATACTAGAACAATGAAAAAAATGTCAAAGGTTCATAGGGAGTCTATTCAAAAAACTATGTGCTTCATGTAACTGACTAAATAATTTATACACTTAGCCAATTTTCAAATTTTACTAGTTTCAATTGTATACAAAAAGCCAACACAAGAAATATACTTCTTTTTCTCTATTGAGTGAACAAAAGAAAAATATATACTTATAGCCAAGAAGTTAGTTTTTCATTATTTTTGAATAGAGGTTAGCATAAATAGCAGCTGAAGGCAAGGACATGAGCTTCATGTGGATAAGATGGTACATATTTTAGATTCTGTGGTCACATGCTGTCTCTGTTGTATATTCTTACATTTTTTTTTTAAACCTCTTTAAGGCTGGATGTGGTGGCTCACACCTGTAATCTCAGCACTCTGGGAGGCCAGATCACCTGAGGTCAAGGGTTTAAGACTAGCCTGACCAATATGGTGAAACCTGTCTCTACTAAAAATACAAAAATTAGATGGGCATGGTGGCGGGTATCTGTAGTCCCAGCTACTCGGGAGGCTGAGACAGGAGAATTGCTTGAACATGGGAGGAAGAGGATGCAGTGAGCTGAGATTGCACCATTGCACTCCAGCCTGAACCACAGAGCGAGAGTGAGACTGTCTCAAAACAAAAACAAAAACAAAAACCACAAACAACAAAAAAACTATTTAAAAATGTAAAAAAAAAAAAAATGCAATAAAGTGTATATTAAAAAGAAATTCAAATTAAAAAATAAAGTAAAATAATAATAATAAAAAAACCCCAAAACCTTCTAAGCTTGGGCTGCATGAAACCAGGCTATGGGCTACAGTCTGCTGACTGCTGCTGGTTTAGGTGAACCCTGAAGAAACCTAAATTCATACATGAGAAGTTCATATATGAGAAACTTAATCCAATTCAAGAAATTCTGAAGATTCATGATCCATTGTCAGATGTAGGTTTTCTAAAAACTGAATAATTCAGTTAAAAAAAGGGACGGAACACACCAAAAATACTACCAAACTTTTATTATCCTGGAAGAAAATGGTTCTGCAATAGTGAAATCGTTCTGCAAATTCTATGGTGCATATGTAAGACATCCAACTATAGGATAGGTGACTGAACCATTTGGCTTATTTTTTTTTTCAATTTGTAGAATCCTCATTTATTAAGTGACATGACTAATCATCATGTAATCTTAGTAAGATGTATCAACTAAAAATATAGGAATCATATAGTCCTATTAAAAAAGAAATGATTACCTCTTACTTTTTTTTAAAGAAACTCTATTCTCTTAATAAAAGAGTAGCCCTTTTTGAGCTTGGTACAAAGGAACTTTCACTCTGGCACTACCTAGCCAAATCCCCCACTTGAACACAATTTCTTGCTATTTATTCTGTTTTAGCTTCTTCTGAACCAGGCTTAGGAAATCCATATAGCTACCAGGGTCTGTGTTACATTTACCCTCACTTTCACAACTTAATGCCTAGTCCAAATTTTCTTCTGAATATGGAAAGAAACCCACAAACCCCTGTAGAACCCAAATCTATGATTAAAATGGAAGCTAAGAAGTTCTTACCTCTGGTTTTTTCATTATCTGAATACTGAACATGTGATTTTTCATTGGATATATTACAATAAGCACATCACCAAATTCTGTGGGAATAATTCCTCTCCTGTAGTCTCTAGTATGCTCTGACCAAACAATGTGCACTTCATCATTTCCCAAATGTCTCAACTGGAAAGACAAGAAAATAATTCATACTGCCCTGTGAGTACAGTCATACAGTCACAGACAACATACAACATAAAAAGAGGAAAAAGGAAATTAAAAAATTGTTAAACTGCACTTGGTCAGTTTTACATAAGAAACACAAACACTCAAAAAAAAATCACGAGACACTGCAGAAGACCAATTTCAGTTGTCAATAATCAATGGAAAATAGAGAACTTAACATTTAAAAAGATTCACATAAAGCCCAAATATTCTCCTTAACCAACAACTGCGCGGATTCTCCACTAACAGATCTTTTAAAAGATTGTTTAAAGAAAAGTAATAGGTAACTCATAAATTGGATAATCCCCAACTGAGTAAGAGAAAGTTGATTATATTTGGTTTAACAAATTTACCAGGTTTTCTTTGCCCATGAAACTAAAAAATTCTTCCAAATAGATGTCTTGAGAATTGTTAGACCCTCAAGACATTATTTAAATGTTTGTGGTGCTTGCTTACAAAGGTGTTTCTGGCAATCAGAGAGAGTTAACACTATGATAATTAAAACGGTAAAAACTCAAAACATTCAGAAGTTGGATTTCTAATAAGGCATTAGATAAATGAACTTAATGTCCTTAAGTCTTGAGTTTTCTTCATAGAGACTACCACAGAATAATGCCTTTTATTAAATTTCATTATACTAGTAAGTTTATTGATTCTGCCACTGAGAGCATTTGAGTCAACTTTTAGTGCAGATCTTACATGGGATTTCCATTAGCTTCAGATAACTAGACATACTACAGGTAGAAAGGTTTAGAAGAGTAAACCTGGGATAATTGTCATCAACATTAACGCTATCAGCTAACATACAGGCAATTTCTATTTCAGAAATATGTCATTTATTTTGGCTTAAGGATGAACAGAGGGTAGAAAAAAGAACTTAATATGTAATTTAAACAAAGAAAGGAGTTAAGTATAATTAGTGAAAAGCCTCTCTTCTGCCATTCCTTAATCCTGGAGTAATTCTTTATATACATACACAACTTGAATAATATAAACGTGTGGGACTTGGGCTTTGCGACATTTTTAAAAAGCAAAAAAGATTACACAACTCAGAAAAGCCATGGCTTCATAATTTCATTTTTTAATCAAAATACTTTAAAAATATCCTTCCTATACAGCCATCCCATGTGTCAGCTTCCCTAATAGGTTTATGTTAACTGAATACAAAAGAAATGTGAAATAAATTTAACCAGGAGGGATGATCCAATCTAATTTTGATACATTAATGTCATATGCTATACATGTTACAATAGCAGCCAGATCTAATACTAAGCTCCAGGCTATACTGAGATTTCCAAATGGCAGATTGTTCTAAGTGATATCAAGTATAATTGAAATAATAAACGATAGTAAAAGCTGAGCACACTGTCAGGAAGAATTTAGGTATTTACTTTTTAAAATTAAATGAGTTAGGTAAGGAAAGACAAGACAACTGAAATAATGCAGGTCTCAATTTACAGAAAATTCCTTTTATTTATCTGCTACATTAACCCTTGAACTCTTGCCAAAACTATCTATAATTTCTAGTGCCCACTTATCTAAAGAAACGAGAAAAAAGGGCAAGAGTACTTTTATCTTATAACTGAAGCTTGTTCAGATATCTTCTGTATGGTATTGAAAGTCTGTTAAATAAGTTTAATGGAAAAGAACAACATATTTTTGCCAAGTTGTTGTAATGAAGATTTCTGGCACAGAACGATGCACATAACAAAGTCATTCTAAACATGTTCAAACACTTTAAGGAAAAAGCTTCATAAAATCCCTTATCATTTATATTCAAATTCTAAAAAAGTAATTATTTAGGGCTGTCATAATGAGGCATTGTTTTTATATCTTTAAAATCTGTTATAATTAGATACAAATTGACAAACTGCTAATCATTGCTATGTGTCTTGGAAATTTTTGAAAGACTAATGAAAGAATGAATTTTTAATGGTTAAGAGTTAATAGAAATTTCAGGCATATGTATTTTTGACATACTTTATATATTATTTAATATTGTTTTTATTTATTCCTTATCTCTTATGGACTTACAGGCTTCTGTCCTATGGGGCCTGGCACGGTGGCTCACACTTGCAATCCCAGAGCTCTGGGAGGCTGAGGCAGGCAAATCACCTGAGGTCAGGAGTTCAAGACCAGCCTTACCAACATGGTGAAACCCCATCTCTACTAAAAATACAAAAATTAGCCAGGTGTGGTGGCACATGTCTGTAATCCCAGCTACTTTGGAGGCTGAAGAGAAAAAGATTCCTCGAACCTAGAAGGCAGGAGTTGCAGTGAGCCAAGATTACTCAATTGCATTCCAGCCTGTGTGACAGAGTGAGACTCCATCTCAAACAAAAAACCAAAAAAGATTGTGTCCTATGTATAACCAGTAGGTTTTGCTATACTCTGAAAACTACCAAAGAAGTTCCTACCTACATGTTTATTAACCCAGATGCTAATGCATTTCTGAAACAGAGTAGAAGACTTCTGTACATGGGATAAGTCTGTTAAAATGACTGGCAACCAAACTATTCTTCCAAATTTCTTTCAACTGCTACTAAAGTCATTTTGGAACTCAAGGTATATAACATAGGCTACAGATGACTATTATTAATTGAAGAAGATAAAGCAGCTAAATGAAATTCAACATGTGTACAAGTGAAGTTCTCAAATACACAAGAATGTTAATACTGGAAGAGATTTTAAAGTTCTAATTTCCCACCTGATACAGGAGCTTATGCCTGTTAAGTAGATATCCTGCCTCTGCTTGAGTACTTCTAAGGTTGGGAATTTTATGAATTCACAAATCAGCTCATTTCTTCTTTATTTATTTTGAGATAGGATTTCACTCTTCTTGCCCAGGCTGGAGTGCAATGGCATGATCTTGGCTCACTGCATCCTCCACCTTCCAGGTTCAAGTGATTCTCCCACCTCAGCCTCTCAAG